TTTCTCTCTAGATAATTCTTGATTTTCGAACTCCTTATTTAATTACACCTTATCTTTCCAGTAACAGATGCCATTAAATTTACAAAGACAGGAAATTTCCCAGTTCACATGGTAATCCTTTTGAACAGTCTGAGACTATATCAAAGATCTATTTTTCAGATGCAAGTTTTATACCTGCAGGACTGCTTACTCCAAGCTGAATTGGTCCAACATTCTACAAATTATCTAGAGAGAAAATCCTGAAAATCTCACACTCCCAGGAGATGAAGGGAACCAATTTTTTTAAAAAAAATAAAAAACAAAGAAGTATGGTTTAGACACCAGGTTAGAAATAGGGAAATTATGAATTCTAATCCTGCCTTATAAATAGATCCTTTAAATAATTCTGGCTGAGTGACTTTGGGCCAGTCACATTCTCTTAGCCCAACTCACCTCACAGGGTTGTTCTTGGACTCAGAAGTATTAGGCCTTGAGTTATTTTTTAAAATAATAAAGGCAGGATATAAACAAACAAAGAAATAACTGCTGCTTTTCATTGATAGCACCCATCCATTGGAAAAGCCTTCAGTGGGAATAGACAGTAATAAGGAGGATGTTAAAAACTATTTTAGAGGAGATTCTGTTAAAAATATGCACTATTCTATATTTTATGTTTCCTATTTTTGTTGTATTGTATTGTATTTATTTATTTATTAAATTTGCTTCCCATTTCTCTAACAAGCAATTCTGGGCAGCGTACAAACATTTATTGACATCAAATTGTTTGCTGATCTTATGAGTTTATGTTGCTATTTTAAATGTACGATAAATGTTTTAATCATTTAACATATGCAAGCTGGAAGAATCAGTGGATTGCAGCAGGATATAAATGCAAGAAATAAACAAACAGTGATGCCTTTTTACATAAAGCTTTTCTAACCTCTTCATTGAGATATGTGGATCTAGTTAATAGCGTTAAGCACTTATCTGATTTTCTTGTTAAGACTAAATCAAAAAACTGTCAGCACATAGAATGCAAAATCTAGTACTTTAGATTACTCTGGTGATATAGAAATTTACCAAGAAGTTGATAATAGATGATTGATAGATACATAACAAAGTGGAAAGCAGCGGTGATTCAATTTTCCTATTTTCTTAAATTATTTTCTATTTGTTTTTTCAAATCAGTATGCAGCAATATACCATCTTTTGACCAGGTTATTTGGAATTATCGGTTCAACTATCAAACTATACTTAAAGTGTGATTTAGCACACTGCAAAAAGTTTTTCAAATGGATCTCAGGAAAGCTCCACAAAGCTACTTTGTCATATTTTCTTCCCATCCTATAGTTAACTGTTCTGACCCCCTCCTCCGCCCAGTAACGANTCTGACCCTTCACGGCCCCATGGACAACGTTCCTCCAGGCCTTGCTGTCCTCTACCATCCTCTGGAGTCCATTTAAGCTCACGCCTACTGCTTTGAGAAGAACAATAGTCCTGCATTTTTCAGTCTAGACTCAAAACTATGTATGGCATGTTGAGAGGCGGGAACGACACCCATTTTTAAAGTTCTTACCAGTGATAAGATCTGCAGGAATCCTGTCGGTCAGAAAATCCACCACCAGGATTCGGCTAGTGGCAAAAATAACTCCTCCCTGGGTGTAAACTTCATAGCGGCTGCTGCTGGCAATTTCATTTGTTACTCGCCGAGGAAGATAAGCAACGTTATCCGTCTTTAACTGGTCAATAAAATATTCCTGACAAAGGAAAAATGATTCAGAGTAAAGAGGAAGATAAGCAACAGTTTATTGACTTTCATTGGTCACTAAAATATACCTGATAAAGGAAAAATGATTCAGGGAAAGTAATGACGAATATAGGATTTGTATTCCTTAGGCTAATTCCTTATTAGAGCAATTGTTTTAAAATTGAACTTTTTTATTTCTTCAAAATATAGGCTCCCCAAATTCACTGTCAACTATTAAGCATAAGTGGGGGGATTTTGGCTACATCAGGATTGGTTTTCAGCAAACGAGTTTCCTGAACAAGGCCAGTAACATATAACATTTTATACTTCCTGTCAGCTAACGATATTCAAATGCCTACTGATAGTAGTTATCCTACGCATATTATTCAGTTTAATTCAGTGGGCCCTATTACTTGACAAATATTTTATAGCATTGAAATCTAAGGATGCCTTAAAGAAACAATTCAGATTTATAACATGATCTATGCACGCCTGCTTAAAAGTGCACTTTTTCAATGGTATTGCTTTTTTTATACTGTATGTTCCTAGAACTATGTCCAGGATGGGTGGGTGGACAGACAGACAGACCGACAGACAGATAGATAGTTAATATTCCTCAATTTCTGGATAGTCTCTCAGCCCAGCCCACTTCATAGGCTTGTTGTGGGGAAATAGGAGGAGAAAGTATTAGATATGTTAACCAATTTGAATCTATATCTGTATCTATATACAGTATATAAAAATTGGTGTCTGTGTGTGTGTGTGTTCCAGCATAACTCTAGAGCGCCTCGAGCAATTTCAACCAAACTTGGAACACAGTTGACTTACTCTCTGGAAACAAATACTGTGGGGGTAAGACACCCTAACACCCATCGGGACATGTGTTCTGTTAAGATACAGCCTGTTGTGCCTTAAAATGGCTTCTACCGTACTGCTGTAAAAGAGAGTCTACTGTACAGCGCAGTGGAGTTGCCATGTTAATGGCTTCACAATACTCCACAAGGGGGCTCCTTCTGGTAAAGGGGTAAATCCAACATTAGAATTTACTTTTGGTCCAGACATTTCCCCCCCTATAAATAAACATCCGGGCCACGTCGTGTTATCAGCTAGTTATTTGTAAATAATAATAAAGACAGGATATAAATAGATAAATCACTCTCATGAGTGGTTCTGGCAGAACACCTTCATGCAAATGATGTCATGAGGCTT